GTTCAATGTTGACCTTATGGGGAAATTTGATTCGATTCTCATCCAGTTCAATCTCGGAGAGAATTGTTTGTGAACTGAGGTACCACTGTATTTTGTTTTTTGAATATGTTATTATCAGTCTATAGTTTTATAAAACTTGGATCTGGTTATCTTTAAACTGAGTCCTTTAATCTGTTTCATTTAATCTTGGTTTCAGATTTGCTGTTTTACCTTTTTGAGATAGGGTCTCGCGCTGCAGCCCTGGCTGGCCCTGACTTTGCCGTCTTCCAGCCCTGGCCTCCCAGGTAGCTGGGATCACAGGTGTGCGCCTCTGCCTGGAGCTGAATCTGCCACAGAACGATGTTTCCCATGGTTTTGTGTTCCCTGTCTGCCCTCATCTTTCATTGTCACTTTGATTGCTTAGAATCATTTTTCTCATTCTGTTTTCCTTATATCTTTTTGGGGGACTTTTTGCTCTTTTTTTCTGTTCTTTTAAGGTTACCCTTATCACACACTTCTGACCTGCCAAAGTAATTTTCAGTATTTCGTCCCTAGGCTGTACCGAGGACAGAACGTGAGTCTTGGTCATTTCCATTCCTTGTGAAATCAGCGTTCACCTTGAAAAGTCTTCATTTGCAGCTGTCTTTCATTACTTCTGTACTTCAGGGGCCCTTGTTTCATCCCCCTCTGCCCAGAGGATGCCCCGCAGCACTCTCAGTTGGTCTGAAACATGGAATTCCAGGCAGCTTTCCTTCCCATCCCTCACTGCCATCCTGCTGCTCTGACCCCTGGCCCCACCAGAGCCCCACTGCTCGGACCCTCCGTCACAGCTGCCATCCCAGGTTCCCCTGCTGCTCTCAGCGCCGCACCTCGAGAGCAGCCTTCCTCTCTCAGCCTCATTGCCTCTCACGTCTCCAGCTGCAGATTCGGACATTTCTGAACTCCTCCTGAGTTCACTTGTGGAGTGCTTGCTTTTGGTTTTCTGCACTTTTCAGACGTAGACTTTGTGTGTTTCCACCTCTTTGCTCAGGGCCCTGGACCCCTGGCTATCTGCAGTGTGTGCTTGGGTGCTGTGTGCAGAGCTGCGTGTTCGTTCGCGTGAGCCAGATCCTGTCCTCCATCTCGACACCCAGAGGCTGGTGCCCAGCTGCAGCTTGCTGAGGGGGCAGGGCGCCATCCCCTCCTCCCTCAACAGCACCTCAGATGCTGGCCCAGAGCTGGGAGTTACCGATCAGGCCTTGGTTCCACCACACTGGAGTCCAAGTGTCACAGTGCAGCTCCAGACCTGCCCTGGTCACCCTGTGCCAGGCTCGCCACTGGGAACTGGTGACATGTTGCCTGTTGCTGCTGCATGAATCCCCACTGGGGTCCAGGGAGAAGGGGAGCCCTGGGGCTGGGGCTGGGGCTGGGGCTGGTGGGAGAGGAGCTGGGTGACCACCGGCTCTTGGGCATGCTGCTGGGAGCAAGATGTGGCAGGGGAGAGTGGTGGAGCCAGGTGTGCTCTTCCTGCCTGGGCCTGCCCTTCCTGAGACAGAACTGGGTGAAGCCAGTGTAGCTGGGCCTCTGGAGTCTGGTTTAGAGCCACGGGGCTGGGATGCTTGTCAGACAGACAGTGGGGGCTCAGCGGATGCTGGTGTGGACAGAGCTAACTGCGGCCGTAGGCCTTGGCAGTACTGACAGAGCTTTGGGGCGTGCCTGGACAGGGCCCAGAGCACAGGGAATCCAAGCATGCGTCCCTGAAGGAGTCTGTGGATGGCTGTGTGTGGCCCTCGCATGGGCTGGGGACCACAGTGACTGCAGCCCTCAAACTGACAGTTGGAGCCAGGTCAGGAGGGTCACGTGAGGGGTGGAGGGACCCGAGGACAAGGCCACTTCCGCCACTTGGTCCCAGGCCAGCTGTGCTGTCACAGGCCACCTTTGGAGCACTGCGGCTGGCATGAGGCTCACGGGCTGGTGTGGGCAGAGGTCCTGGGTAGGACTCAGCTGGCCCCTCTGCTCTGCCCAGGGCTATGGTGTGGGCTTTGCTCAGAGCCATGATATTGTCAGGCTGGGTCTCTTCTGTTAAGGCAGGCTGCCCTAAGTGACAGACCTGTGTCGGGGAAAACTGTGGGCAACTGTGGTTTGCTGATAAGACAGGCAGGCATCTGCTCCCTACTGCACCTGCCAGGGAGTCGAGGGGCCCCCCAGTGAGTGGGCCTCTGGTCACTCTGCAGTGACAGCTGTCCCTCGGTGCCACCATGGTGCATGTCACATGCTGTTGGGTGCTCCCCTGAAAGCTCTGTTCTAGAATACTGTTTTCCTTCCAGCCACCCCTTCTGTGTGAAGTTGCTTGCGCTTTGTAAGGAGGAGATTAAGAAGTCAAAGAACACCCAGAAACTTCGGTCCAGCATCGCAGTGTGAGTTTTAAGTGGCCTGGGCTGAGTGCAGGAGGGGCGTGGTGGCTCTGTGTGGCAGTCAAGGGTGGCTCTGGTCTTGCAGCCCTCTCAGTGCCTGGGTTTCAGTGTCTATTTACAGTAGTCCTAACAAGAGGCAAGGCTCCTGGCCAAACACCTCCACTGCACCAAGGGCCGTGAGGTTGGGGGGCATCGCAGGTGGTGCCCTCACAGGCGGGCAGGTGGCTGCTGACCTCTGAGGAGCCTCACACCCTGGAGCCTGTCCTGTATCTGCCTGGTCTCCACGCGCCTCGGCCTTGCCAACAGCCTTGGGAGCCCTGGGCACGGCCTGCGCTGCCTCACGTCCCCTGGCTCCTCTCCTGCAGGCTCTGTGGGATGGTACAGTTCTGTGGAGATGTGAGAAGGAAGGTGCTCCTGCAGCTGATGCTGCTCCTCTGCCACCCGTTTCCCGTGGTGAGTGTCGCCCCAGCCCATGCAGACGGAGGCCTTTAGGGATGGTGCACGCAGGTGTGCCTCCGAGCAGGCTGAGAAACGTGCCGGAGCTGGGGTGGCCTGTGCGCATCACACACATGGCAGCGGCTCTGGCTGGCTCAGGGCCCCGGCCCAGCCTGGTAACAGGCTTGTCCTGCTGAGGGGTGGTAGCCTGCACCAGAGCCCAGCTTCTGTCCAAGGCAGTTGCCAAGACTTCCCTTTCCCTCTGGCTGTGAGAACTCTAAATGGCCTGAGGTGAGAGTGACTTTCTCAGAATAGTGACTCGGGCTGGGGATCTAGCTTAGTGGCTCCACCACCTGTCTCGCAAGTGCAAGGACCCGAGTTCCATCCGTGGTACCAAAAAAAAAAAAAAAAAAAGAATACAGTGGCTCTCAGGGTGGGGGGCTGAACCCACAGCTCGGCCTTCTTGGGCTACCAGGAATATAGATTCCTGGGGGTGGGTCGAGCAGCTTGAAAAGGCGGTGGCCGGCTGCTTCCCAACAGTGACTCACCTGCCCCGAGGCCCCTGAAGCCCTCCTCTCCCGACTGTGTGTCCCGCAGAGGCTGGGGTCTCTGCTCAGGGCCCGAGGGTCAGCTCGGGCTCCCTGGCCGTGGTGTTTCTTCCCACTGATGTGCTGTCCTTGCCCAGATCCGGAAGACCACGGCGAGCCAGGTGTACGAGATGGTGCTGACCTACAGCGGCGTGGTGAGCACTGATGTCCTGGACGAGGTCATGGCTGTGCTCAGCGACACGGTCTGGTAAGTGGGGACCTGAGCCAGGCTGCCTCCCTTCTGCTGAGTCTGTCAGGCTCCCCCAAACCTGAGGAGAAGCGGGGACACCTCAACCCTGGATGGCTCAGCTCTGCCCTTCACCGCCTCACCCAGGGACCAGCAGGGCCGGGGCCTTGGGTAGGAGGGTCTTCTCCAGGTGCGTTCCTTGTGGGTTGTGTGGCGGGGGGCCTGGTCCCGCATCTGGGCGCTGCTGGGCGCTGGTGAACCACTTCACTGTCACACTGGTGAGTGACAGCACCTGATGCACAGTGGTCGGTGTCAGAGGCCAGGGAAGCAGCTGACCCCGTCTAGGGACGGCGGGCACCAGACACACGGCTGCTTCTGGCCATGGCAGCTGAGGATGCCCACCAGTGAGGCTGCACTGCCTAGGCTCCGTGATAGAGAACCAGGGGCCGCCCCACCCTGGAACCCAGCCCTCCTTGGCCAGGCGGGAAGTGCAGCCTGCAGCGCAGCTTCGGGGTGACCTGGTCGGGGGTCCCAGGCTTGGCTGCACAGTAACGGTCATGCAGCAAGTGCGTGTGTGAGGCCGAGGCACCGTACGCACATGCATGCGATTATGGCAGAGCACAGTATCACACGCCTGCACTGTCACATGCAAACAGCATCCGTGCGCTCGCTCATGAGCACTCAGGCATTCTTCAAGGGCACCAGCGTCACCCTCGCTTTGGCAAGGAGCCGAGCCCAGGGCAGGTCCGGGTGGGCTGGGGCCCTGTTCTGCCCTCACCACCCCTCTAGACACAGGGGCCGGGGCCATGCTGGCCCGAGTGCAGCCTGGTTGGGTCGGGGCGGGGTGGGGTGGGGTGGGGGTGGTGCGCTATGAGCCGCAGAGGGTGTGCGGTGTCCACACTGTCCTGAGCCCCAACCAGTCTGGGGCTCCCAGGTGCCAGGCTTCAGCAGCCTGATCTGGGCACTGAGCCACCACAGGAGGCCGAGTCAGCACCTGTTTTCAGTTTTTTAAAAACAGGACAGAGGGGCTAGAAATTTAGCTCAGTGGTTCCGCTGCCTGCCTTGCAAGCACAAGGACTTAAGTTCGATTCCCGGTACCAAAAAAGAAAAAGAAAGGAAAACAGGACAGAAAAAGATGAGTGACTGGACACCACGTTAAAGTTCCAATGAATTTAACAGTAATTATCACAGAAGAAAAACTTAATATTTTGTCACAGCATTGCCAAATTTTGGGTTTTAATGAAAGCAGTGAATAACTGAATTCAAATACAACTTGAAAAGCCCTCACAGCAGGTGGAACCTGTGCCCTGGTCACATCCTGCCTTCACGCTGAGCCAGGGTTCACCCGGGCACCCGTCTCTAGGGGAGTGTTTTCCAAGCTTCCCGCACCTGAGGTCCAGAGCCGCTGCAGCTGCACACACAGGTCTGAGGCTCGAGGGCTCACAGCTCCTTCTCCTGTGCAGGGATGCTGAGCTCCCCGTGGCCAGAGAGCAGCGGAATCGGCTGTGCGACCTCCTTGGCGTGCCCCAGCCCCAGCTGGTCCCCAAGGTAACCCTGTGGTTCCCCACCTGCTCCCTTCCCCCTCCCGTGCCAGCTCTGGAGGCTACAGTGGCAGGGGCTCCTCTTCCTTCCCTCACCTTGGGTGGCAGTGTGTCTTTACACATGGTATCTTAGTTACTTTCTTCTCACTGGGACACTGTACCTGACACCCACAAATCCAAGGAGGAGAGGTGCTTTGGCTCCCGTTTGTGGAGGTTTCAGTCCATAGTTGGCCGGCTCCAATGCAGGCAGCACAGCAGAAGGGCATCGCAGAGGAGAAACAGCTCACGGCAGAGCAGCAGGAAGCAGGAGTGATCAAGAGAGGAGGGAGATAGACCCTTCCAGGCTATGCCCCCAGTGACCAGCTTCTCCCACCAGGCTTCATCTCCCAACATCACAGTTAGCAGTGAACTCATCCAGGGACCGATCCAGTGATGAGGATCACACCCCATGATGCAATCACCTTCCCCAAACCCCACCTGTGAATGCACGAGGCTTTGGGGGAACATCTAGATATAAACCATGACACAGCGTGCTTTCTCTGGGCACAGCCCATACCTGCCTGGGCCATGGGCATGCGTGACACAGCGTGGCTGAGCCTGCACTTCTCTGTGCCCAGCCCAGCACCAGCCCCCTGTTCCGGTGGCTCCAGGTCTCCACTTGTGCTGGCCCTGGCCCCTCCCATGCAGTCCACCATTGTGCACCCCCATACCTGTCGAATGGGGCCTCACCCTCCCACCCTGTAGAGCCCCTCAGCTGCCATCTGCCACAGCCTTTGCTCTGAGCACTGTCCTCCTTTTTTGTCACGGGGGGTTCTCAGTGCCTAGGTCATGTGGCCTCGTCCTTGGTGCCCATCAGAGCTCCTGCGCACCCTATTGGGCTGTCTGCACGTGCAAGGTCTGCATAGCTGCTGCCCACGGCAGAAGCTTCTGTTCCCAGCGCACTCCCATCCTTTACACAGAACATCAGACTCGCTAGCCTGCCCTTCGCTAGTTTCACCCTGTCTTTATAGGGAGGCTGTAGGTAGGGGATGGATGCTGTTTCCTTCTGAAAGCTCTGGGTTTCCTTTTCCACTGGGTTTCTGCCTGTGGGCTAAGCACCTGTTCTTGTGTCCACCGATCTTGTTGGCCTGTCTTCAGGATCTACAGGGTGTGACATGAAGTCTCTGCAACAGTCTGCGATGTTTTTGCCTGCCCATTAGTCCACACTGCTGTGTGATGGAGGAGGAGTGGGCCTCACAGCAGGTGATGGTGTCTGACTGACGGAGGAGCAGGCGTGGGTGTCACAGCAGGTCACCGTTTTCCTCTTGCGTGGACAGGTCTGAGGCCTCTGAACTGTGCCGTGCCATCTTACTGTACCCATTGCTGACAGCGGTGTATGGAGTCTGGATCTTTCAGTCTAACCCTCAGAACACATTGGAAGTGGTTGTTAGGTCCATGTATGGCCTCTCTGTTGAGCCTGCACCTCTATGAAGGGCCAAGGCACTGAGGCCCATGTGGCCGATGGTGGTACAGCCGCAGCAGTCCAGGTTCTTCTGCCATTGTTCTGCTTCCAGCCTCTGTGTGTTCTTAGTGAGTGGTGAGGTCTTACCTCTTGGGCTAGGCAAACACTGCCACCGAGCTACACTCCTGGCCTTTACAGGCTGACTCGGGCGGGGTCTTTGTTCAGTTGATAGTTTTATGGACTTGTCAGGCCGTGCACGTCCTGTGTTTTACTTTGCTTTTGAGACAGGGTCTTGCAAACTTACCCAGCCTGGCCTCAAGCCTACAATCCTCCTGTCTCAGCCTCCCAAATAGGCAGGGTCACAGCGTGCGCACAGTGCCCGGCCTCAGCCTCTCTCTTCCCCTTCCGATTCATGGTGTCCTGGGCCCTGGGCTTCCTCCTCACAGGAGCCCCGCAGATGCTGGGGGCCATCAAGCACCCTACGTGGGTGGGGACCAAGGTAGCATCCCTGCCCTCTTGGGTGCAGAGGCTGAACACAGCATCTGGCCTCTGACCCAAGTGTAGTTTTTACATTCTCGGTGGGAAAATACTCAGTGTGTGACTGAGGCTCCAGAGAAGATTCTGGAGTGTGCACCCGAGGTGCAGTGTTGCCACCTCGCTTGTGCTGGGGCCTCTGGAGAAGGGGCCGAGAGGCCTGGGCGACTCACAACCCACCGTCTCTCTGCAGACCGGTGCCCACTGAAGCTGGTCCAGAAGGTGAGCGGTCATCCTGCCGGCAGGAACGTTCTGCTCCCAGGGACGCTGACGGCCACACCAGAGCCCGGTGCCACAGTGCAGATGTCTTGTGGACAGACGGTGCCTCCTCCTCACATGCCCTGGGTGCCTGTGTTAATCTGCTGTTGCCTCACACAAATGTGCTCCCATAAAACCCATTTCAAACAGCTTTCGTGAGTCTGGACCCATGCGTGTGTGGCTGGAGGCTTCTGTGGCCTAGGAGTCGGGAGTGTGAGGGCAGCTGTCCTCCCGGCTGCTCACAGTGCCCTTCAGGGGCCCGGAGTGCGGACTGCGGCTGTCTCCGTGGCTGGGCGCTGTGTCTGTCCTGTGCGCTGCAGGGCAGGGTCTGGGCTTGGCGCCCCCATCCTGTATTCTGTGGGGCGGAGTCATCTGAGGCCAAGAGGGCAGGGAAGTGGTCCAATCAGGAGCAACCCAGTACCAGAGAGTGGCCAGGAAAGCAGCAGAAGCTGCAGAAATCAGCAGAAGTACGGACACTGACCGGCTGACTCCTGAGTGGGTCAGGTGCCCACTTAGAGGACAGAGCTGCATGCTCACAGGTGCACACGAGTCCACCAGGAGGGTACTGCTGAGAACTGGCCCGGCCCTTCTCTCGGGAGAGGCCACATCCATCGGGAGCAGAGGCAGGGCTGTGGGGCCAGGAAGGTGGGCTCTGTGGCCAGTGCCACACTCGGATCTGGGCAGCCACCCAGCACGTGCCACTGAAGCCAAATCGCTGGGGCACGAGGAGGATGTGTTAATAAAGAGAAATTTGGCCAAAGGACCTGCCTAGAATATAGAACCCAAACATAACATACATGCTCGCTTTAGATCAAGTGGTTTAAAATTATATTGAAAATTTTAATAAAGTATTGGTGAGCATTAGTAAGATTGGGAGCCATGCCGAGGGCACCCCAAGTGGTTCTGGGGATAGAAGCCCGGAGCTCCTTGGGCACAGCCATGGGAATCCACTGGCACGGGGCAGGGGCAGAGTGGGCCGGGCTGGACTGGGCAGACCCGCCTGGCCGTGGTGGCGGCTCAGCTGAAGTGCAGGAAGTCCCGGCCCTCACACAGGCTCAGCGACCGCAGGTTGTCCTCAAACTCGCCCCCCGTGAGGTCCTGGGTGGAAGCAGCAGGGCTGGCTCGATCTGGCTCCCCATGCTCTTTGGGGCCCCTGCAAAACCTCCAGTGGGAGCTGAGGCTTGGAGTCGGCCTAAGGCCACCTGTTGGGGTTCACTGTGAACTCCTCTAACAGGAATGGGCATGGCTGGGACACAGTCCCGCGGTTGCCAACGAGGTGCCCGGCCTGGCCCCATCTCCACAGGAGGTGCCGGCCCCCATGCCTCTGCAGGCTCAGCCATGCTGCCCCTGGTCCCTGTCCCTGCAGGGGAGCAAGGGCTGTGACCCAGGTCCTGTAGTGGGGTGCAAACCACAGGACCCCTCACCTGGGCTGGGCCAGTGAGGTACGACTTGGAAGCCCTGCAACAGGGCTCTGGCACTGTGCCCACTAGGCTCCTGGAGGCTGTGCCAGATGAACGGGTCACAGCCCCCTGAGGAGTGGCCCAGGGCACTGCAGTGGATTGCAGGCAAGAGGCAGCCCAAAGGACCCACCCAGAGTACGGCCTGGATGCACAGACGCATGCACGCACGCCCGAGGCCCTACCCCAGACCACAGCATCCCTGTGTGGCCAGGTGCTCCCCTCCCGTGAGCGACACTCACCAGCTTCACACAGATGACGAAGGGCGGCCGGGCAGCTCGGAAGTGCAGGATGGGAACCCGTGGCTTGGGCCTTTCCTGGAGGGAACAGCACCAGCCATGTAGGTCACATGGGCTCCTCGAAGAGAGGGCGTCCAGGAGCCTGTGCTGGGCTCCTCTGCCGGTGGCCAGACTCCAGGGTAGGACGGGGCCCTGGGGACCCCAGGAGCTGGGGTGCACCTGCCGGCTGGGGCCAGCGCTCCCGGGAGGGCCCCTCACTGCCCACCTCGGCCCACGTACCTGGGCGTCCTCGTGGCAGTAGAAGCCCTTCTTCATCTTGTTCTCATCCACATCGCAGAAGGCAACCACCTGGGGGGAGCGCAGGGCAGGGAAGGTGGGACAGGGTCTGCATGGCCGGGTGCGGCAGAGTGGGCAGCGCGGGGTTGAGGGGCACCTGCCTTGTGCCGGCTGGCGGCCGTCAGGCTCCGGTACAGCCTGCGGCCCTGCTTGCCCGCGTTCCAGATGGTGAAGGTCGCCCACTGTGGCAGGGCCTGCTCCTCCAAGAAGCGGACGCGGTGGGTCCAGATGGTTGTCCTGCAGCGGGCAGAGGCGCCGTGGGTGGCTGGATGCCAAGGGCTCCACACCTCGCCGCTCTCTCAGCCCTGGTGCACACGGCCCCTGACCGCTCAGGCCCGATGCCACATCCTCAGGCCGCCCTCAGGGCCGTGTGCCCCTGGGAGGTCTTGGGGTCACCCAGGCTGAGCCCCTACCTGGGCCCTGAGACACCCCTGAGGGTGGCCCGGTGCATGGGGGAGGCTGCCTCACCCCAGTGTGGGCAGGGCAGGGGCGCTGGCTCCAGAGCGTGGGTGTGAAAGGCAGTGCGCCCCCGGAGCGGCCGGTGTGCAGAGGAAGAGTTCTCGGAGACCTGTGTCCTCAGGGCCGCCACCTGCCTGGGACACAGGAGCTCTGGGCTCCCCGTGGCCTGCAGGGGTCTCTGCTCTGAAGGAGTGGCAGACACTCCCTGCCATGTACTCTCTGCGTCTTGAGGGCCACAGAAGGCCCGGACACAGCTGCCTGGCAGGTCCGTTTCACTAGGTGCTGAGCTGGGTGATTGGGGGGTGGTGGTTCTGCAGCCAGCTAGCACCTCTCCTGGGAGCACACAGAGCAGCCCAGGGCTCGGCCCCTGGGGGGCTGCAGGACAGGGTCCTCCCAGTCGTGATGGCCAGGGTGGCCTTCCCACCTCGTCCTTCCAGGGTGACTCCAGGTGTGACAGAAGCAGGATGTGTCCCTCTGGGGTCCTGGCCGGCCAGCCCTGGAAGCCCGAGGCCTGTGCCACGCACCCCGTCTGCTGAGCCCTGGGATGGTGTGGGGCAGGGCTGGCTGGACTCCACCCCAGAGGGGCCGGCACAGGGGCCTCCGAGTCCTCCCAGGGGGCCCTGTGTGGAGACCACTGTCCCGCCTGGGGCCCAGGGAGACACCAGCACTGGTCAGGCCTGTGTGTGCACACGTATGTGAGGGCAGCTCCCGCAGAAACTCCTGGGCCTTGCCCATGGGATGATGTTACACGTCAGCAGGCCGGGTCTGTCGGGCGTCCCCTGACAGTCAAGTCCCGAGCACCCGCTGGCGAAGAACCCGTGGCACATATGCTGCAGCAGGTGGTGAGCGGGCTTTGGGTTGCAGTTGGGCCCTCGTCTCCAAAAGGCTCACCATCCCTGCTCCTCCTCCCACCCAGAGGCGGATCCACAGGCTGGGTCTCAATGGGAAGGGATGCCAGGGCCACACCGCCGGAGATGCCCCACCCTGTCCCTGCTTTAGGCAGCCTCTGGGCTGAAGGCAGGGTGTGGGGTAGACGTGGGCTGGCGCAGCTGTGGCGGTCACATCCGCGCTGGGCCACACCGGGGAGCCCGCGTTTGTTCTCCTTTGGCTTTCTAGCTCTCAGGAGCAGCAGGGCCCCTGAGCGCCATGGGCCTCTCCCCCCAGCCGGCGCTGTGCACGCGTGGTGCCTCTGATGCCTGAAGTGTCTCCCACTGCACTGGGCAGCAGAAGAGCAGACCGTCCTCCACGCAGAAGAGGGCGGCTGCCGACAGCCTGTGGCTGAATCGCACGCCTCACCCTGTGCTGCCATGCAGTGCGGAGACCTTAATCCAGCACAGAAACTCGCATGAGCTCATGTATTTTGAGTTGTGGGTGGCAAGGCCGTGTGTTGCAGAAACAGCAGGGTTCCATGCTTGTGGGGCGAGTGTGGGCCTGAGCCTGGCGCCCTCCCGGCGGCCCGGTGGGGTGCTGGCTGTGGTCACCACCTGGAGGACTCGCCGACACAGTGCGAGAGGCTACATGCTCACACCTGCAGGGAGGAGGCACAGGAGACCGGTGGCAGCGCTTCCGTTGGCCAGGACCGACAGCCCCACAATTCCAGCTGCGTTCGGGGACGGAGAAACGGTGCGCAGATGCTGAAGCCTTTGGGTGAGTGAGGGTGTAGGTTACATGTGTGAAGCTCGTGGGTCTTCAGTGTGCTGCTCGGGTTTCGAGCAACACGGCCCAGCCCTGCAGCCCTGGCCTCTGCACACCGGGCTGCCCTCGCCTGGCTGCTGCTGCTGCAGCCCCGTGGTTTCATCCACATCGATCTGGTCCGGGCCATCAGCAGTTTGTGCTCTTCCGAGGCCGAGGAGCGAAGTTCACCACGAACCCGAAGATGGAGATGTGGGTCACTCCCCAGATGCTCTGGGGGTGTGTGTGCGTGCACACGTGTGTGGTGCAGGGTGGCCCCAGAGCCCTGCCCACTGCCACACCACACCCAGGCCACTCCTGATGGCGGGGCAGCACTCATGAGGTGAACAGCGAGTTAAGGAAATCAAGCTGCACCGGCCCCATGGAGGCGTCTTCACCCACGACCATGGCCCACGGCGGCCCGCCCGCTGTCACACCTGCAACTGAGAGACGAGAGACGCGGGCTGTGCCCACCGTGGCGTGCTCGGTGACCACATCTGGTTTTGTAAACTGCCACTGCTATTTAAGTGTTCATAGGAATATCTTTTTCCTGCCAGGTAGTAGGAATTCTGTATGCAGTACATTCTCATACTAGCTTTTTGCTAAACATGTGGATCACCTCCTGGTCTGTGGTTTGTCTATTCATTTTCCTAATGGTGTCTTTTTATTTTTAAAGTTTAAGAGCAAAGAGTCTCACTGTGTTGCCCAAGCTGGCCCCTTGGGTGCCTGGGCTCAAGCAGTCCTCCTGCCTCAGCCTCACCAGGAGCTGGACCACAGGCATGTGCTGGCTTAGTATTGGCTTGTTTCACAGTCTTGGGGGTCGAACCCAGGTCCTTGTGCTAGGCACAGCCTCTACCACGGAGCTACATCCTCAGCTAATGGTGTCTGTTATGAACAAAAGCCCTCATTTTGATGAGGTCCAGCTCAGCCACTTTTAAGTGGGACATGACTGACATCCTCCACGCTGCTGTCTGCGCCCCAGGCTGAGCTGCTCCGCTGGCTTCCAGACACACTGCAGTTCCTGCTGGCTCACCTCCGAGGCCCTCCTTGAATCTGCTGCCCTGTCTGGTGCGGGACAGGCACGCAGTCGTCTCTGGCCAGCACATGTCCAGTTCCACCTGTGAGACCCCCTTTCTCCACTAAGTGCTTTTCCACTTCTGGATCCTCTGTCCCAACGGACGTGTTTGCCTCGGTGTTACTACATCGCGCTGACCGCCATAGCTTCAGTCTTCTTCAGCCCGTCACTGTGAGCCGTCAGTTTTGTTCCTTTTGTGATTCTGCAGGCCATTCTTGGTTTCCCGAATTTCCACGGGGATTTCAGACTTGCTAATCTGTGTCTACAAAGAGGCTGCTGGCTCTGTCACCTTGGTCAGCGCGGAGCAGACTGATTAGCAGGCAGCACTCAGGGCAAGGAGTGTCGGTCAGTGTCAGTTCTGTGGCAACATCATGCTGGGGCCGCAGCTCGGAGGGGACAAGCATGTGTCCCCGCCTCACCTTAGTGGCCCTGAAGTTACTGAGGCCCACAGTCCAGGAGCTGCTTCCCGTGTGGCCGTTCAGCCAGCTTAGGGGATGCTGCGCGTGCCTCTGGGTGTGTGCCGGCCCTCCACGCGGCTTTGGCTTCTGGACACCTTGCAGGACCCTTTCCACCACTGGCCCTCCTGCCAGCTGTGGGCTGCCACTCAGCAGGCAGAGCCCCTTGCCCTGGGTCCATGCGGCTCTCTCCCTGCAGGAGTGCGCATGCCCAAGGCCACACTACTCTCCCTCTGCTGCTCACGGGCGCTCTGCCTGCTCTACAGGTTTCAGTGCAGGGGGTGCACATGCAGAGTACACACAGAGGGTGCACATGGTACATGGAGGGCACACGGTGTATGTGCAGAGGGCACAGCGTGGAGGATGGACACAGTATACACACGCAGAGGGTGCACACAAAGAGGATATACATGTTCTTTGTAAAACTCATCCACAGCATTTGTGTTTGAAGCCACTGTACATGTTTCAAAATGCAGGTCCAGTTGTTCCCCAGGCAGTGTACAGTACAGAGCCACTGCCTGTGTGTAACTCTGGACTCGTGTCTTGGCAAGCCTGCTGGATTACTGGCTCTGGTTTCCCAAGAAACACAACCCTGCCATCTACAAGGATGATGGCTCCCCAGCCCTCAGCGGCCCCATCGGACCCTCTCTTCCTGCATGGCCTTCCGGACACTGACAGAGGGGAGGGGACAGCAGGCGCCTGGGGAGCATGCAGGGCTCACTGTCAGCGTGACTCTGGCTGCAGGGCTCTAGGTGTTAGCAGACCGAGAGTGCCCCTCTCCTCTGAGTTTGCTGAGATTTTCTTTTTAGTCAGAAAATCCCAAAGAGCATCTATAGACTGGCTCTGCCTCTGTACACCTCCGAGAATACCTTGGCAGACCAACTGGGTTTGGCTTTTGTGGAAAGTTATTAAATTACTGACTTAATTTTTAAATCATTACTTGCTTAAATATCTGTGGGATCAAGAGGCTCCCGCCCTTCACAGGAGGACACGGTGAGAAGCCATCGGCCCCCGTGGACAGCACAGCGAGGCAGTGTCTGGTGCGCACGCCACTCAGGTTCAGCAGCGGAAGGGGTCAGGATAGTGCTCAGATGACAGTGTGGTATCTGTCACCTGCAGTCTGAGACTCATCTGATGGCCCCACACACCGAGTCCAGCTCACAGTCCCGCTGGATCGGCTGCATTGTTTGGGCTCTCCTTACTCACAAGCCTCGGGAGAGGAGTCCTAAGCCTGCCGCCCTGCGTCTGTCTCTTCCCCCTGCTGCGGGGCGTGCACAGCGGCACAGCTATCCCTCGGAGATGCCCCTCTGGAACGGCTGCACCCAAATTCAGGCCTCACCACAGGCCAGCTCTGCCATGTGAAGCTGGAGAGCAAGCTGTCTTCGCCGTAAAGAGCAGGTCAGTGGGGGGACACCGGAGTCCCGTGGATCCCCTGGTCTGGACCCAGGTGGCCGGCGCCTCACTGCCCCAGAGAGGTGGTTTCCATGCAAGGGGCCACAGCTTGCGGCAAGAGGCTCAGGGCCGCCCAGGCCAGGAGCAGGCACCTCTGCTCCCTGAGACATGCATGGTGCCCAGCTCTGCAGCCCAAGGGTGCCGAGGCCGCCTTCCTCGGTGCCACAGGGCCAAGGAGCCCACCAGTGCGCAGCCCCACAGTGAGTCTCGGCCACAGACACACCTCCTCTGTGCCCTCACTGCCCTCCCACTGCCTTCTTCCCAGTCACCCAGAGGGCTGCCTGGAGCATAAAGCACCCTGCATCTCAGGCTGGTGCAATGGCACCTCAGGCCCAAGCAAGGCTGCCCGGTCCTTGCTGCGGTGCCCCAGGGGAGGAAATGGCTCCGCTACTGCCTGTGCTGTACACTCCTTGGGGAAGGAGGTGCCCCCGCCACAGGCCTGCCGACCCCTTAGAGCGGAGTCCTGACGCAACACTGTGCACACCCACCTTGGCCCACCCTGCTTCCGCCTTCCAGGGTGCCCGAAGGTGCTCCCCACCCCGACCGGCCCACTTACTGGAGGACAGAGTGCGTGGCTGCACGTGGGTGGTAGCGGTAGAGCAGCAGACTCTGGTCCACTCGCATGACCCCGCCGCCCTTCCTGAGGTGCTCGTAGAAGAACAGCAGATCCTCGGGCACACCCTGCACAAGGAGAGAGGCTGCTGGTGGGTGGTGCGCGCCTGGCCGTGCAAGGGCTTCTGAGTGGAGGCGCCGGGGCAGTGTGGGCTGAGGGCAGAGCCCACTCCGAGAAGGCACCTGCTACTCAGGCTCCAGCAGGGCAAAATGCACCTAGGTCAGCCTGAGGCTGCAGAGCACAGGGGAGGCTGCACCCCTGCTTCTGCCCAAAACCCCACTGGGTGGGGTGGGATGTCCTGGGGCAGACATGGTGCCCAGGAACAGGAGCAGGCATGACAGCCTTGAGCAGGAGACACGGTGGCCCTCGGGGACGGGGGCACCTGGTGGTCAGGGCTAGGAAGGTCAGACACCAAGACGGCCTCAAGATGAGGCTGCACTACTGAAAGAGGACAGTAGGTGGGGGCATTGAGTCAGGAAAGTGCACCAAGTGGCCAGACCAGGGCCTCGGCTCAGGACCCCCAGCTTGTCCTGGAAAGCTGGGTTGGCACTCCCTCGGGTGGAAGCTCCACTCTCCCCATGCCGTGCAGCGAAGGCCCTGTGCAAGCCCTCCAGGCTCAGTCATCTCCAGTTCGGGATGCAGGGGCTGGGAACTGTAATCTGAGCAGAGACCTGAACCAAGGCAGCAGGGCAGGTGGACGCTGAAAGGGCCGGAGCCAGTGCCCGGCTCCGGGGGTGGCGTGAGGCTCTCGGGCGCAGGACCTTCATCGCCTTCCGGGTGAAGGCCCAGCAACCCGGGGTTCTCTTCCCCACAGGCGGGCAGAGATGCCAGGGGGTGTGGGGACCCTCAGCAGACCCCCCTCAGCTGCCCCAGAGATGCCCGGCAGCACCTCCCAGGTCCTGCGCTTACTGTTGCCAGCAGCATTAAGCCAGGTGAGGCCACCTGCGCTTTCCCGGAAACAGCTCCTTCCCGGGGGCAGCTGGGGGCAGCTGGAGCCTCCGCAGGCAGAGACGCGGCAGGCAGAGCGGGAGGAACCGGGCTGGCGCGCTCACGGCACTTACCTGCCCACCCTCGTCGAACAGGCCCACGTGGTAGAACCAGGCTCGGGCGCAGAACCAGGTGGGCATGACCACGGTGGGGCCGTGTGAGGTGAATACCTGCAAGCAGCGGTGCAGCAGCGTCAGCGGCAGGGAGGTGACGGCCGTCACCCAGCCTGCGGTGCGCTCCCTGAAGCCTGTCCCCTCCCAGTGACAGGTCAAGCACCCTGCAGCAGCATCCCAGCAGCTGGCCTGGCCCTGAGGCGGATGGGGGCGGGGGAGCCAGTGGCAGCCCCGTGCCTCCAGGTCCCCGGCCCGGCTGTGCTCGTCACTGAGCGGGGCTGGGTCCCCCTGCTTCCCATGGGCACGTGGCCTGTGTGAGAACTAAGCACACACAAGACTGAAGCAGCGCAGGGCCGTGGGCAGATTCCTAGACAGACACAAACCATCAGAAAGTCTCAGGAAAAAACTGAGTTATCTCCAGCAAATAAGAGGCTGAAAGAGGCCAGACAGCTTCCCTGGTGAACTCTGTCAAATGCTTAAGGCATTCACACCATTCTCCAGAAACTTTCAAACAACAGAAGCATGGGGGAACACACCCTAACTCTCCCTTGAGGCCAGCATTACCTTGATCCAAAAACCAAGCCAAAAAAGCTCAAGAAAATGCCTTGCCAGTGGCCTTTATAAACACAGAAGCCAAAATCTGTGGCAAAATACTAGCAAAATGAGTCATCACAAAGATCACATGCCATGACTAGAGGGATTTACTCCAGGAAAAGTGGGTTATTAGATAAAAAGCAAGCACTATGATACACCACACCGATGGACTAAAGGACAAGAACTAGACAGCTATCTCAACAGATACAGAAAAGGTGCTTGACACAATCCAGCACCCTCTCATGACAAAACCACAGCCTAGGAAGCCCTGCCAGAGGGCCTGAAACCACACCCCCATGTGAGCACAGAGTGGTGAACTGGAAGCTGCTCCAGGGTCAGGTCAAGATGACGATGACCATGCTGGCCCTCTCTTCAGCCTCTGCATGGACTCTCCCAACACAGCAACGGGCTAAGAAAGAGAAGTGAACATTACTCAGCTTGAGGGGAAACCACTTCTGTCTGTGGGAGACATCACTCCCAAAGGAGGAACCCTAGACACGTGTGTGTGTGTGTGTACTCTGGCGCACAAGTGTGTACACAATCTAGGCTAATACAAGAGTTCAGCAAAGCTGTGGGATGAAGATCCATATACAAAGCTCAAATGGAGTCTATACACCAGCGAAAAGCACCCAAAAATGAAATTAAGATGACATCTATGGTTATAACAGCATGCAAAATACATAGGAATAAATTAAGGAATAGAAGTCTTACTAGATGGCTTGGTATTCAAGAAAAGGTACTACTAGATTGATCCACAGGTTCCATATAATCCTATCAAATTCTATCAAATTCCAGCTGCTTTTCTGGGGGCAGAAAGTGGTAAAAATGATCCTAACACTCCAAGGGAAATGCAAAGGACCTCAGATAACAAAAGCCATCTTGATAAAAACTCCAAGTCGGAGGAGTCACACTTCCTGTTTCTAAAGATGAGCTCTGAGCAGCAGGAGCTGCATGGCACTGGCATCAAGATGGTTGCAGCGTGGCAAGGATCAGAGCTGAGAGCCCGAAGATATGCCCAGACGTTTATGAGTAACTGATCTTGGACCAAGACACCTAAACAACGTGGAAGAAAGAAAGTCTTTCCAACAAATGATGCTGAACAACATGAAGTATAAAGTTGGGCCCTTACCCCAGGCTGCACACAAAAATGAACTCATAATGGACCAAAGGCCTGAATACTAGACCTAACTGTAACATTCTTAGGAGAAAACACAGATGTAAACTGTCACGCACTTGGGTTGGGCAAAGGCTTCTTAGATTGATACCAAAAGCAGGTGCAACTACTGTGCAGATAAGACACAAACGGGACTAATCAAAACTCAAGTTCTATATTTCAAAAGATACCACTGAGAAATTTTAAAAAGCCGACAGGAAGGAAGAACATACTTAGAAATCACACATCTCACAAGGACCGAATACCCCAAACATGCACAATGTATTTACAGCTCAACACTGAAAAGAGAAACGATCCGATTTTTAAAGAAGCCAGCTAAGGCAGGCCGTGTGTTGCATAATCCTATATATATGAAAAGTCCAGGACAGGCAGCTCCAGGGACAGGAAGTGGACTAGGGTTTGCCAGGGGCCAGGAAATGGAGAGCGACAGTTACAGGGACCAAGTTCCTTTGAATGAGATCGAGATGGTGGCTGCACAATTTGTGAGCATGCTGAAAACACCAACGTGTCTTCTTACAAGGGTGACTTTTATGGCCTCTGAACCATCTCAATGAAGATGTCACTGGAAACACTGCACATTCACCGACTGCCAGCTGACCCAGAGCCGTGTGGTCTTGTCTTTATATTTTTCTGTTTAATTTCTTAAACAAAAAAACCAAGCTAGTTCCACCTAGAGAGGGTATTCTTATGGGAAAAAAAATCTTTGGCAGAATTATAATCTGCATTCAATGCAGAAGATGTGTTTATAAAAACACAATGTTTTATGAGTGAGTTCACTCATTTTGTTTTCTTAAAATATTTTCTGGTTACAGAGTAATACATGATCATCAACAGAAAATACAGAACATTACACAGGAAAAACTTCAAGCAGTCCTGACTGAGCCCCAGAGAAGGAGCTGCAGACCCGGTGTGTCCGCTCCCAGGAAACCACCAGTACGCGCAGCGCTGGCATTGAGCCCATGCGGCCTGCTGCGGCTCACAGCTTCGGGACAGGAGTGGGTGGCTCGGTGTGGCCACCCGGCAGGCTGTCCCTTGACTGTTCCTCCTGCCCCCAGCTGCTCCTTCTCCGGGACCTTCTCTGTCCTGAGAGTGAGGACTTCTTGCTTTCTAGCACATGCGCTTCCATTTGCTGGTCCCCGGGTGTCCACTCCGGGCTCTGGGGGACCAGGCGTAGCTGTGCCCTTGGCTCAGGCAGAGGACATCTCTGTGGCCTGGACAGGGCCCCAGTGGGAGGTGCCGGCGGTGGAGCTGTGCCCTTCCGAGATGGTGGCAGTGGCCTGAGACCCAGCTGCACGCCTGCCTGGGAGCCGCTGGCGCACACCGCTTGCCCCCAGCAATGCCGCCGCTAAGGGAGGCTAGGGGAGGTGAGCACTGTGGATCGTGCGGTGTGCGCACCTTCTCTGAGGAGTGTGTGTTCTTAGGAACCTCGGCGGGCAGCCGAGGCTCCTCGGCCAGGCCGGGTCCTCTGGGCTCCGAGGGCCTGGCAGCCTCTGGGAATGGGTCACTTCCTGCATGGGTGAAAGGGATGCTGAGTAGAGGCCCGAATGGCTCCCCAGCAGCCCTTGAGCCCAGTTTGGCTGCAGGGTGGGGCACACGCCGCTCCCAGCATGCCCTGTGCTCCCCAGGGCTGCCTGCCATGAGGTCTCAGACTTCCCTCGTCCCTCACTGCTCTGTGACACCGGCCACAGGTGCTCTCGGACCGTCCTGCCTGGCCGGGCCTGAGGTGTCGCCTGTTTGCAGCTGTCCCCACTCTGTACCTCCTCTGAGGCCTCCTTGCATGGCAGGGGGACGTGGGCAGGGCTGCCTGAGCTGGTCCCCACTGCACTCCCACCTTCACTCGAACAGCTCAGCGGCCTTGCTCAGGGGCCAGCGCCCAAGCAAACAGCCCTCACTGAAAGGGAAGGGAAGCCCCTGGCGCACACACACTCCCTCAACTTCATTTTCACTGTTTGGTGGTAGGGATTGAGCCAAGGGCCACATCCCTTGTCTCCCCGCCTCTATGGTTTAAAATCCTGAGCTAGGAGCTTGCTGAGTTGCCCAAGCAACTTGCGATCCTCCTGCCTCAGCCTCCAGGCAGCTGGCATTATGGGCGTGCACCGCACCTGGCCTATTTTCAATGTTAGAAGATTGTTCTAGGCACAATGAAGTCTAGGAGAGGCCATGTGCTTGCAGGAACATCACATGTGCATTGGTTCCTGAGGCAGGGACACAAAGCTGCACATATGCAGACACACGCGTGCAGAGTGGCTGCACACTGAACAGGCACCCGGAGATGGAGGCAGCACCTCCCTCCAGCCTGCTCAGAGCCGTCCTTCTCTGGGAAAGCGCAGCCCACCACCCCCAGGCCACGGCAGAAATCCCAGAGACAACAACTGCGGGCAGCAGGGGGCCCGGGGATGGAGCGGCTTGCTGGGGACTGCTGACCTCAGGCGGTTACCCCTCCTGGCAGGGGCCAGGCTGCTGCTGACCTGGGCCTGCCACAGTCTCTGGTGTGGAGGGCTGTTAAGTAGTTTCCTATGAGATGGGAAATGCCTTAGAAATCTGCCGGCTATTTCCCGTCGCCTGTGAACCCTACCTCATCTTTTCCTGAGCTAATCCAGCCTCTTCCCGGAGTGTGCAGTGCAGCGGCACCAAAGCAGCGGCAGTGCGGTACCTGATGCAGGGCTCCCACGGCTTTGGGCGTCTGTCTGTACAAATGCCCGCCTCAACCCAGGACCCTGGTAGGAGGTGAAGCAGGAAGCAGCCCGGCAGGGCCATGCCCTCCAAGGCAGGTGGGAGGCCACTGGATACCAAGCAGGCCCTGGGATGCAGTGGCCTCCTGAAGACAAGTGTCATTAGGCTTGATGAGTGAACCCAAACCCCAAAGCCTGGGACTCACTTTAGAGGGAACTCAGCCTTTCTCCATAGACGGAGACTTTGGGGACCCTTGCACCCTGAAGAACCATGAGAGGAAGCAGTCTTATGGCCTCTGGGATGGAGCAGGCCAGGCCGTGGCGTCTGGCAGCGTGAACAGGGGACAGGGAGGCTCACACCCTCTCTTCTGGCCTGGTGGCCCTTGGCACAGGTTGGGGGCCCTGGCAACCTCGGGGCACGGGGCACCTTCTTGGGAGCAGCTGCCAAGATGCCCAGTGTGGCACTTGGGGCTCCTGCTACAGCAGTGAGGAGGAGTCCAGAGCAGGGCCCTCACCCATGGAGTAGGGCAGCTGCCGCACGCCGGGGACCAGATGCCACCACACGTTCGTGCACCGAACACACAGACCGGAACACAAACACTGACATGCACAGACAC